CCAAACCGGTTTCGGCCCAAACCGGACTCTTGATTCCAATAATTACAAGCTGTTTGTTCCTTGTGATTAAGCCCCTAGGGCAAGGATGTTTTTTGAGATACCTAAGTGGAGAGGTCAATCAAGTGGCTCCGAGGAGGGATATGGGAGTCATCAGTAACCAAGCTCAGAGTGGGGATGAAATAATCCTAGAAAAATAGGCTGAGAAAGAACAGGACCCAGAGAAACTTTTAGATTTAAAGGCTGATTGATGGGGGATGAGACTGCAAAGGAGGCTAAGAAGCTTCGGCCAATGAGGTAGTAATTAAAGTATGTGAGTGGAATCACAGATGCTAAGAGAAGACTGTTGATGAGAAACTAGTCAATACTACTAGATGCACTGAGAAGGGAAGTAAGCTGAGGACTGGGAAATAGCCACCGAGTTTAGGAATGTGAAGGTCACGTGGTGAGCCAGTGTGCCTTCAGTATGAACTATGTCAATAGAATAAAGGTTGTAGAACTCAAAACAGACTGGGTGGCCCTGGCCAATGTGACTCAGTTGATAGAGCACCAAAGGATCATGGGTTCAATTTCCAGTCAAGGGCACATACCTGGGTTGTAGGTTTGATCCTGAGCCTCAGTTGGGGCATGTGCAGGAGGCAATCAATCTATGTTTCTCTCTCTTCACCTCCCTTCCTTACACTCTCTCTAAACAATCAATGGAAAAAATATCCTCAGATGAGGATTAACAAAAAACAAACACCAGACTGGGTGGAGGAATGGGATGGAGAGAGCCAAAGTATTCAACTGTTTTCAGTATAAAGTGGAAAAACAGGTTGGTAGCTGGAGAGGAAATGAGGTACAAAGTGGTTTGGTTTTCTATCAGGGGAGTGTTTAGCATGTCCACACACTGATGAGAATTTAGTAAAGTGGGGGAAAGTCAGCCATTCCCAAAGAAGGAAGGACTAGGATTCAGGGCACAGGCATTGGCACTGGCCTTTAGAAGAACGCAGGGCCTGTTTGGACAGTTCAGAGGAGAAAGATGCAGATGTGGGTGGTGACCAGATGTGAGAGATCTCAGCGGATGGCTTTACGCAGGAAAGATAACTGGAAAAACCCAGGGGGATTATAGGGGCTCTGACAACATTTGAAGTTGGTAACTCTGGATCTATAGTAATATAAATCTGCTTTATAGTGATTTCATTGGGTGACCAAATGCAGAGAGACACATGTTTCATTTTATTTATGCATCCAAAAGAGATAAAAGGTAAGGAAACAGTCTATTCCAAAGAGAATCACTAGAACTTAAGCTCGATAGAAATCAAGAGAAGAAAGAAGCAATGGCCTGACTGCTCCAGTGAATCAAAGAATGAAAATAGAGGAATAGTTCAATCAAGTGAAAGGAATGTGGTCAGCGAATAAGATGCTGGGGCGAAGACAGTGGCCAGGACATAACTATGGGAGTGGATGCCCAAGGAAGTGGAAATCACTAGATTCTGTCAGAGAACTAACAGACCAAAATATTGGAGTGTCCACATAAACATAAAAGTATCAATGAGCGGATAAGAAGACTAAGGGTTAGTTCCTTAGAGGAATGTAGGAGAGTGGTAGTTACTAAGGACAAATAACGAGAGGGTGGTACACTTGAATAGCCTCAAAGGAATCAGACTTTGCAAAGGAATGGGCAGTTATGCTCTGAAGCCAGAATGACAGGAGCACTAACCTCTCCAGTGTATGTGGTAATCAGATAAAGTTTTGTCAACCTTTATTCCCATTGTGTTTGAAACATCACATGTGCTCATTATGCCAATGGCAAGACCTGAGGGAGACTCCAGCAATAATGGAAGATGGATGGTAGGAATAAGGTTCTTATAAATATTAAGAGAAAAGAACCAGGTCATTAGAGATTGGAATTTTTTATTTATTTATTGATTTTTGTACAGAGAGGAAGAGAGAGAGATAGAGAGTTAGAAACATCAATGAGAGAGAGTCATTGATCAGCTGCCTCTTGCACACCCCCTACTGGGGATATGCCCGCAACCAAGGTACATGCCCTTGACCGGAATCGAACCTGGGACCTTTCAGTCCGCAGACCGAAGCTCTACCACTGAGCCAAACTGGCTTCGGCGAGATTGGAAATTTAAGAAAGAGAATAATTGATGGATCAGACTGAGGGACACTTGTTTCTCCATGCCTGGGGAGAGGTATGATGCAGGTGAATAAGCAAATAGAAGCTCTGGCAATTCATAGGTCTTCTATGTTCCTAGTCCTTCTCCAGTAATTATTAAATGACTTGGAAACACAGATTATTCACAATCACCTGGCAGTTTAATTACATGCAAGTTTGTTGTAAGGACACTCACAAATGTGAATGTGGAAAAAATCTTTCCACCAGCAATATATCCTGGGTCCCCATTTCTTTGTGTCTGAAAAATGGGAAGTTCACAAGCTGATTTACCTGCATTTATGAATTTTATTGGGTACACATGAAGCCACTTGGTAAAGAAGTTCCTGATCAGCAACTTTTACTTTCTAACCTTTCTATTTAAGATTTGTTCAAGGGACAGCAGCTAGCTAAAAACTAATAGAAGCCATTTTTCTCAACAGGTGACTATACATATATGTAGAGTGCCTGGGAAGGCACATGAGCATTTCTTTGATTATTGTCAGCTGAGTTCAGTGGTGTTGGCAGAGCCAACATACTGTGCCAGAGGTAGGTATGTTGTCAGCCTGACCCGTAGGGCAGGTGCCAGGGGTTAGGTTTCATTACTTAAACTGAGCCAGGTGCAAGGAACAAACCTAATTATCCAGGCTGTTAGGAGTGACAGCTACACAGAAGCCACAAGAATGAAGAATTACAACTTGACCTTTAACGATTTCACATAATTCCTCTGTCTTAACCTCTAGTAAAATTTCCTGGAATCATACTGTATAAAATAAATGCACTGTACCAGCTTTGGGTCACTGTCTCTCCATCGGAGAGCCAGCTGTTCCACCCGGTCCCAGCTTTCCCTACTGTCTGTCTCTTTCATTTTCTCAATACCCCGTCACCCCACTCGGACACACACACACACACACACACACACACACACACACACCCATATGTGCTTCTAGAACATTCTGGATTCTTGCTTCCTCATGTTAAGAAGGGAGATAATACCTCTTACTTGTACTTCTGTTGTAAAGATTAACTAAGGTACAGCATGACATATATCAACATCAGAACCTATACAAAGTAGGGGCTCAATAGGTGTTTTTTTGAGGTAGCCTGTTATAGCATAAAAAAACATGGATTTTAAAGTCAGATGTTTGTTTTTTTTTAACTTAAGAGAAAAAAGAGAAACACTGATTTGTTGTTCCACATACTTATGCACTCATTGGTTAATTCTTGTATGTGCCCTGAGGATCGCATCTCCACCTTGGAACATCATTGCTGGAGTCTCCCTCAGGTCTTGCCATTGGCATAATGAGCACATGTGATGTTTCAAGCACAACGCTCTAACCAACTGAGCTACCTGGGCAAGGTGAGTCAGATCTCTATTTTAATACAGGGTCTACTGTTAGAGAATTTTAAACTTCTGGGCCACACAAGGGAGAAAACCGTGTGCTTTGTGGGTGGTTGTAGGATGTTATTTTTATTATTGTGGGAACCAATGTCTAAGAGTTTCCATTTCAATTGTAAAAAAAAAAATTAAAAAAAAAATGAAACATGGTCAGCTGATGGCGGATAGTTGACGGTGAGGGGAAGGATTAAGGAGAGCAGTAACGTGTAAATAACTGCCATGTTAGGGACAGTGAAAAGACCAGGAACCCACAAAGGGTTGCTTGTTGGTAATGATGGCTTGGTTGAGGTTGGAGCCTTAAATACTTAGTGACACTCATTACACAACTATGTTTTTCTCTAGCAGTTTGAATGGAGGAACAGAAAAGATTAAACAGCTGGAATGATACAAAAGGACACAAGAGCAGCAGGAAAATGTGGTAATGGAGTGACAGGTCATTCACAGTGCTGAAAGCAGAAGTAAATTCCACAACAGGGAGGAAATAAAAAGAATGGATAGGCTGGAAATAGAAACCACAGAACAAGCAGAGTGGGAACCTGGAATAAAGGTGGAGGAGCTGGAATTAAGATTATAAACAAGCAGTGAGACAGGAAGTAACATTAAGGAAGTCCTGAAGATTTTGCTTATCCCTTCTTTTCCACAACCACCATTATCACTTCTCTCTTGGGTTTCTTTATCTCGAGCCTGACCATATTGCAGCATATGGTCCTCCAAGTTTTCCCTTTCTGATCGTCCCTGAAGCAAAAAAAGACCGTCTTTGCTTAAAGGTTTTACTGTTCATTCAAGAAGACAGAAAATAGTAAAGAAGTAACTTGGGTATATGATTCAAGTTTCAGAACATTCAGAATTCATATAGGTTTCATCTGTTCTGGAGTTACTGATTTATAAGGAGGTAGTCCCCCCAAACCCTGTTTCTTGATGTTGTCCTTAGATGTCTCCTCTTTTCTCTAAATCTAGCAGAATTCCCTCTTGCAAGACAGTCCACACACACAAAAAGTTACGAATGAATGCATATCCAGCTCACAAGTGAGCCATTAAAGTCAGACAGATTTTATTTAATGACAGCTAGACAGAGCTCCCACTTTCTCTGTCATTTGGCCAGGAATCACCTCCTGTTGCTATTACCAACCTTAAAAAATTGCATCCTGACACCTTGGTTTAACCAGGTGCCTGGGAATGAATGCTGCTAAGGTTTTCCTTCTACACATAGAAGGCAATTTCTCCGCAGCGGAAATGCACTGACAAATAAAGGATGGTGCTGACAAAGTGGGCAAAGCTTCTCCGCCCAGAACATAAACCGAACAGAATAAAAGCGGGTTTATTAGCTCCAAAAAAAGGAGCAACAGTACCCAGCTCTCAGGCCACTCCTCACTCTATACACAGGCTGCCCCCGGCCCAAGGTCCACTGGCTCCTTCAATGTGAGGGTCCATCCAGCGCCTCCCTTCCTGGGTTGGGCATGGCTAGCTGCCTGTCGGTGAGCTTCCTGGCTGTTCAGCAGCAGCAGCAGCAGCACCGAGCCCAGCGGAGGCAGCCTCATAGTCTGCGATGCGGCGCTGCACCAGGGCAGGCATGAGCTGCACGTAGGCGGCCATGAGGCGGTGGCTGGCATGGATCAGCTTCCCAGCACAGCTGTGCAGACAGGCCTCCTGGAAGAAAGACAGGGTGGAGGGAGAGGCCTGTCAGGAGCGTCCCCTGTCGTCCCATTCCCAGCCTAGGGGTGAGGGTAAAGGAAAGATCCGGCCTTTAAAGGTTCAAGAGGAGTGGGGGGAGGAGGAAGGCAGCCTGCGGTTAACTCTGAGGAAGACGAGTAGCTTCCTACGCAGCCTCCCACCTCCTCAGCATCCAGAGCTCGGTGGTGCAGGCTGGGCACGCAGCGCTGGAAGCAGAGTTCCGTCATCCGGTTGTAGACCAACAGGAAGTCCCGCAACTGGAAGAGAAGGGGACCAAGGACTCAGCGATAAGGGGACTCACATCTCTCAATTCTGGGCCGCGCCGCCTCTGCGTTTCCCAGGCCGGCGCACCCCAGCCCATGTCCCCAGCCCGTGGGCCCCTGGCTCCCCGGGGTCCCGCCCTGCGGACGGGGATGCGAGCTGAATGTAAAGTCCCGAAGCCACTTCGAGCCGCTACTCACGTTTCTCAGCTGCTGCTGATGCTGCTGCTCCATCCCGCCCCGGGAGCGCGCCCGCCTTTACTTCCGGTACAGCCTCCCGGTCACGCCCCGGAAGTAGTCTCTGGTATATGTCCTCGAGAGCTGAAGGGTTGGCTCCTGGATCGCCCTGCCCCCGGGGCCTGACGTCACTTCCGCCCTTACCAACTGCGACGTGGCCGGCTTCTTCTGCCCGGGCGGGGACGTCACTTCCGCCGAATCCCTGACCTGCTGCTAGGATCGCGACGGGAACTGGAGCCCGAGGTCCCCGCGCGGACCGGGCCTGGCGCCCCGAGGGGAAGAGCAGCCCAGCCCGAGGTGAGAGGGGCAAGCTTGGTCAGGTGGAAGTTGAATGCATGAACCTGTCCAGAGGGCAAGACACCTCTGAGCTCAGGGAAGGATGAGGACACACCTGATGCCCAGGTGTATGGGGTAGGGGTGGGGGTGGGGATTGGGAAACACACCTGGGGAGACATACATGACTTTGGAAGGGTTCAACCCTATCCTGGGGGGGGAAAGAGGCTTTTCCCAGAGGCCGAGAACATATACCAACTGACTGAACTAAGGCCTGGTGGAGAGGGCGAGGAAGAGAAGGTGCATGGGGTGGAGGAAGGGGAGATCACTTGAAGAAAAGGGGGAGACGTTACCAAAGGAGCGTGCAAGGTCAAGCCCTGGGCGACATACCTGAGCCCTGGAAAGGGGTTCATCTCCTGATGGGGAGAAACACCTGCATGGGGATCAGCTCCAAGAGAATACAGACTCTCTCCATTTGGTTCACTGCTGTGTTTCCAGGGCCTCAACTAGTGCATGGCACATAGTAGGTACTCAGTCAGTGACTATTGAATGATTGAATGCGTGAATGATCACGGAGCCCTGGTGGGCTGGGAGAGTCATGAGAAGACACCTGAGGCCTGGGTGTGCATGTGTAAAACTATGCATCTTGGAGGGGAGAGATGCATATGCTATAAAGGAGTGGTAGCCAAATCAGGACACTCAAACCTTGGAAGACATCTCAAACCTCAGAAATGGTAGGGGGGACCTTTCTTTTCTGGAGACCTGGCCAGTTTCCAGAACGGTCTGTGTTGGGCTTTGCAGGGCGCTGGGGTGGAGACATTGACTCCGGTCCCTTCCCTAGCCATGACGGACGGGATCCTAGGGAAGGCAGCCACAATGGAGATCCCCATCCATGGGAATGGCGAAGCTGGGCAGCTTCCTGAAGATGATGGGCTGGAGCAGGTGCTTCTGTTTGATTTTTTCTCCTTATTGTCTCCTAAACCCTGGGCTCCCTGGTTTAGTCGCCTTCCCTAACTTATCTAACTCCCTTCAATCTTTTTACAAATTTTCGTTCTGATTCTGTGCAGACTTCCCTTGTGTGCTCTCTCTATGATGCTTCAATCCAAGCTTGTTCTCACCCCCAAAATGCTTCAGCTGCCCCTATGTTCCTGAAGCCCCCCTCTTCTCTGGCCTATAGGACCTCCAGCAGGTGATGGTGTCAGGACCCAACCTCAATGAAACCAGCGTTGTGTCTGGTGGCTATGGGGGCTCTGGTGATGGACTCATCCCCACAGGTATGAATGGTCAGAACAGGACAGGAAACTTGAGTGAGGATGGGGAGAGGCATGGTTCCGGGGAGAATAGGATATGCCTAAGAAAGCTTGAGTTACCTCAAGAGATCTTGGAAAACTCCTGCTAGGATGAACCCTATGAAGTCCTCTCCCCAAGGCCAGTTCCCAGGGGTGTCCAACTGCTCCCACTTAGCATTTCCCCTGAGGTGCAGCCTTTTTCTCTGCTGCCACCACTCGAGTCACGTTAAGGATGCTTCCATAGAAGTTCCTCCTGCTCTAGAGCTCGATGCTGATTTGCATCTTTATAAGGTTTCTCAGAGTTTTACTTTAGACTCTAAAATTTAGAGGAATAAACACCCCTGGATCTCACACAGACCGTGATACCTCATGGGAATGTCAGCCAGGTTTCCTGTTGTCAGGACCCACCATCCTTGACTTCCTAGCTCACGCTCTGTGTATTTCTTTCTGTTTCCTCTGCCCCTGTCCACCAGCAGCTCCCTCTAATCCCACCATCATCTCAGAAGGAGGCCAGATGTATATTGGGATTTGGGTTTCAGGGCACAAGACATGAGTTCCTTCTAGTGAGTAGGAGAATCTAATTGTTTCTAGCTTCTGCTCCTTCAGGACGGTTCTTTTCAGGAGCTGGGAGGGAAGTATGGGTGGAGCCACAGAGGTGTCTGGTTGTATTTGAGAGAGGCTGGTGTCAGAGAACTTGGTCCTTTAGGGTCTGGCCGCCATCCATCTCACAGTGCCACTCCTGCTGGCCCCGGAGATGAGGTGGCTCGGGGCATCGCTGGAGAGAAGTTCGACATCGTCAAGAAATGGGGCATCAACACATATAAGGTGGGATTCAAGCACCTCTCCTTTCCCCCAAACTCCCCATAGGTACCTTTCCCCTTCTCCCAGATCCTAATGTTCCATCTATGGCTGAGAGTAGGAGTCTGGGTATACTAGGGTACCTACCTGTTGTATACTGGGGTACATACCTATTGTGGGGGCAGGGTGCTAGGGTCTCTGACTGATTCCCCCACTTCCCAATCAGTGCACAAAGCAGCTGATATCAGAGCGATTTGGCCGAGGCTCTCGGACTGTGGACCTGGAGCTGGAGCTGCAGATTGAGTTGCTGCGTGAGACGAAGCGCAAGTATGAGAGTGTCCTGCAGCTGGGCCGGGCGCTGACAGCCCACCTCTACAGCCTGCTGCAGACCCAGCATGCACTAGGTGACGCCTTTGCTGACCTCAGCCAGAAGTCCCCAGAGCTTCAGGTGCCTCAGCCAGGCCCAACGAGGGTGGGGGGACTGGGTCCAGGCCCGCCCAGGCAGTCACCCCTCAGCCTCCCTCCCTCCCTCCTGCAGCCCAGAGGGAGAACCCCTACAGGGTGGGCCCAGCCCTGCCCCCAGCAGCACTCACGTGTGGAGGCAGCTTAAGGGTTTGTACAGAGGTCCAGAAGTTGGAGGGGCTGTGGGAGGCGGCACACACCAGGTGCCTCACCAGTAACCCTTCTCTGCATTTGTGAGAATGCCTTTGATGCTCAGCCTAATCCGAGCCCCTCCCTTGCCTGCTGCACTAGCTTTCTCTGTTCTAGCCCTGTGAGCTTCTCTGAGAACCCCACCCCCACGTTCCCACCCCAGGCACCCCCAGGGTGGCCCCACTCACTTTCTGGCTAAGAGAGCCTTGCTGGAGGCAGACCGTGGTTGATGGCTGCTTCCTCCCCGGGGAAGGGGGGAATGAAGGGCCCTATAGCTCCAATCAGGTAGGGACCCTTTCTTAAGGCCTGTCCCTCCCTTCTGCCCTCAGGAGGAATTTGGCTACAACGCAGAGACGCAGAAGCTGCTGTGCAAGAATGGAGAGACACTGCTAGGGGCTGTGAACTTCTTCGTCTCTAGCATCAACACGTTGGTCACCAAGACCATGGAAGACACACTCATGACTGTCAAACAGTATGAGGCTGCCAGGTGTGGGCACTGGCAGGGGCCTAGGGCTTTGGGAGTTGGCTGGCGTGGGTGGAAATTTGAGGTTAGGGTCCTAAGAACTCAGGAAGGAAAGGAGAGTGTGGAGGAGAAAGGGGTGGAGATGAGCCTCTGTCACCCCCTCCCCAGGCTGGAGTATGATGCCTACCGCACAGACTTAGAGGAGCTGAGCCTAGGCCCTCGGGATGCAGGGACGCGTGGTCGACTTGAGACTGCCCAGGCCACTTTCCAGGCCCATCGGGACAAATATGAGAAGCTGCGGGGAGATGTGGCCATCAAGCTCAAGTTCCTGGAAGAAAACAAGGTGCCAACCCCACCCCTCTGACCCCATCCCATCTTCCCGTCTGTAACACTGACCCTCCCTCCCAGACGCTGCCCATCGTTGGATGGAGTAATGCAGTCTAAGGAGTGGGGTCTTCTCTTAGCCCCCTCAACCCCTGGACCTTTCGGGGTCTCCCTCCTTCCGATCCCTAGCCCTTTTCTGTTGAAGAATTGACTGCTGGTCCCAGGATCACGACAGAAAGATCACACCCTGAGTTGTGGTGCCAGAACCCCAGCCCCAGCAAATCAAGTCAGGTTTCTCCCATCAGCTTAACCTTTCTCCTTTGATTCCCTTGGAGGAGTTCCAACCCCACCCCCAAAGCACCATCAGAGCAGATTGCATGCGCCCCTGGTCTGGTCTCAGGCTCAGCCCCTCAAGAAGGGCATCTGAGTCCAGCCTCAGCTGACCCTCTGGACCCCCAGATCAAGGTGATGCACAAGCAGCTGCTGCTCTTCCACAACGCCGTGTCCGCCTACTTTGCTGGGAACCAGAAACAACTGGAGCAGACCCTGCAGCAGTTCAACATCAAGCTGAGGCCTCCGGGAGCTGAGAAGCCCTCCTGGCTAGAGGAGCAGTGAGCCGCTCCCAGATCAACCTGGCTATCATAAAGACACTGGGAGGGGCAGTCCCTGGGTGGGGGAGATCGGACATGGGACGTCCCTTGCCACCTGCCCTCAGGCATGGGCTCCTTTCCCCTTGCTGGGGACCGACACCAGTCTTGCCCACATTGCTGTGGGCAGGGATGGGGCCTGCAGGCCGAGCAGCAGCTGCCCTGTCCCATATCTTCCTGGCCACTGGGCTTTGTTCCCAGATCTCTTCCTTCCACTCCACAGCCAAAGGCTATGACAAAACTACTCCCTGGCCAATGGTATTGCTCAGGCCTATCCCCAGCTCCTGGGGTGTGCCCCCCGACCAACGGCAGAGCCTCAAAAGGCCCTGTCAGCCAAAGGCAGCTCTTCTTGGGCTCCCCTGGGCCAATGATGTTGCCTCCAATACCCTTTGTCCCTCCTCTATGCGTGCCCGTTGCAGAGAAAGGGACTTGGGACCAAAGGGGTGGGGATAATGGGGAGCGCCATTTCTGGCCCTGGATCAGAATGGGCATCCCCTCACCCATCCACCCAGTTTCATTGTGCTTAGAGCCCTGGAAGATTGGGACCTAGCACTAGGAATAAACCTTTCGTAAAAGCAGGCCCAGTGAGGTCAATTTGTGGGGGATTCTAGGAGGGTGGGCTGGGTAGAGAAATGCTCAGTCTAATACACCCAAATCCTATCAAGTCAGAAGGGCTGGGGACAGACAACTGAAGCCAGAGGTTTCAAGAACAGTCTGAGGAAACCACTCTCCTCCCCCAGACCCAGTTTGAGCCAAAGCTTCACCTGCCCTCTAGGCCAACACCACGATAGCTAAGGATCGTAAGAGCACAGGCCCCAAGGGGGGTTGGGCCCGCTGACCATCATGCATTCATTTATACAGCAAATATTTACTGAGTGCTTTTACTTGCCTGGCACTGCCCTAGCCCCTGGGGAAACATCAGTGAATGAAAGCACAGTCCCTTCCCACAGTGCTTATGGTCTAGTGAGGAATAGAGACGCAGTAACCAGGCAACTACAATACGGTGATTAGTACTAGGATACAGAAGTTCAGGGAGCTGTGGGACCACAGGGGAGGGGCCTCTCCTAGACTGGAGAGGAGATGAGCATGTCAACTGGAAAGCTGAGACAAAGGGTATTCAGACAGCCAGGAAGAGGAGGGGAAAGAGCAGTGTAGGCTGAGAGGCAATATGCGAAGGCCCCCAGTAGGAATCTGGAAGAATGAAGGGAGTTTCACTGGGTGGAATTGAAGGGGAGTGGCTGGAGGAGGACTACAGAGGTAAGGTAGTAAGAGATCAGGGTAGGCCTGCCTCTTCAGGCCGATGAAGGGCGTTTGCCCTTTGGAGAAGAGGAACCATGAGGCCTTTTCGGCAGAAGTTTGATGGCATAGGAGAAGTCTAGGGCTGAGGAAAGTAGTCCTTGTGAAGCTTAAACTAGTGTAACACAGACCCCAGTTCCCTCCTAGTAGCTCTGGCCCAATCTCTAAAGTAAGCAGGAGTCTTGCTGAGGCTCATCACCTGTGCTGGGGGCCTGAGCTCCGGTGGATGAGGGGTTGAGGCAGTTTCCAGGGCCCCTGTAGAGCCCAAAATCTGAACCTTGTCTGAGGCAGGAAAGCGCTCCAGCAGCACTTTAATTGAGCCAGAGCTCAGGGGTCATCCCCTCTGCTCCTTGGCTAAGGAGAGCCCCAGGATGTTTCAACACTCCCCTACCTGCGTGGAGGCCTGGAGGAAGGGGATGCCCCAGTCAGCAGATTCTCCCAGCGCTGAGATCCAGGTGCAGCCCGACTTTGCCCTTAGTCACAGATACTGCAGCTCCCAGGCAGGCAGGCTTCCTGGGCTTTGGTCAGCCTGCAATCAGCTGACTGCAGCTTGATTATTAGGGGGAGGGGTGACCCCCGCTTTATGAAACACTGGGGGTTTTTGAACACGAAAGGTACTGATGAATCTCCAAGTGACTGGAGGCAGGACCTTCACACAGAGCTCAAACGCTGGTTAGACCGCCTTCCAGCTGAGCGATCAGGGTTAATTCTAGGGAGCCGGGAGCCTCAGTTTCTTCCATTGTATAACACGGCTTATAAAAGAAGCTGCCTATTAACAATATGAGTATTAAAAGAGATAATACATGCAAAGAAATTCGTTATGTGTCTGGCACCATATAAGCATTCAGTCCCTGTTCACCGTTGTTATCATTTTTATTATTTTCCACGGGGGCTGCTTTCCCCCCAATGCGATGATTCTGAGAATTGCTCTGGTCTTTGGAGTGCGGAGGGGAGTCGCTGGATGGTTGGGACCGAGATTTCCTTGCCAGGGTGCTCCTCGGGGAGAGCCCGGCAGCTAGAGCCGGATCAAGTCCCCCCACCTGCCTACCCCGTCCACCCCTTCCAGAGCTCTGGGTCCTGCCCTTGCACCTTGGGGCCCTTCCCGCCTAGAGATCCGTGTCGAGGCACAGGATGATTCCTGTCTCCCATGATCAAGGGGACCACACCAGCATATTCCGTAAGACATCCCCCCCTCCCCCCGTCCCCGAGAAAGCCTGGCAGGGAACCCCCAGGAGGAGGCAACCCGAACCGCCGCCCAGAGTCCGAAATCTCTGCTGCCCAGCTTGTCTCTTCTTGCCCGAGCCTCCCCGGGTCTCTGAGACCCACTGTGTCGCCTGCCCTGGAGCCGCAGGGAGCCGGAGGCAGCTGGCGGGGACCCGGGGCCCAGGATCCGGGACTCGAGATCCGGGATCCGGGATCCGGATCCGGCACTCGGTGCCCCAGCCCGCACCGGAGGCGGTGCTCGCCCCAGGCTCCGAACGGGGCCAGGGGGCGGGGCCTGTCCGGGGTGGGCGGAACATGGGCGGGGCCTCGGCGTCGGGCCCGCCCCCTCCCCCGGCTGGTCCGCAGCCCCGCCCCGGCCCCTCCCTCCGGCCTGTGCGGCGGGTCCGGCGGCGGCGCCGGCGCGAGGACCCGCGGAGGCGAGGGACGTGGGGCGGCGCCGCGGGCAGGGCCGGGCGGACGGGCGCGGGCAGCGCGGGCAGCGCGGGCGGCGCCGCGGGCCCTCGGAGCGGCCGCAGAGCGGGCCTCGGCCTCCCATCCCGCTCCGCCGCGGTGAGTGCGCCGGGCGGGCGTCCCCGGGGTGCGTCTGTGTCCCTGTCCGCCCGGGCCGGGGGCCGGGTCCGAGCGGCCGAGGGTGGGTCTGCGGGTGCGGGCACGGATGCTCTGCGGGGCTGCGGCCGCCTCTGTGCACGTGAGGCGTGTCCGTGCCCGCGGGAGCGGCGGGGGCATTCTCTGGGCTGTGGCTCTCACGTGAGGTCCGTGCTGGAGGGGGGCAGGCGCGGGCGGGCGGTGATGGTTCCTCCCTTGGAGAGGCGCGGGGTTTGGGAGCCTGTGTCTGTGGGGCGGAGGGAGTCGGTCGCTGCGGGTGGTGAGGGTGGCGGTGGCGGAGGGCGGGTGGGGGGTTGCTGAGTGGGACTCTGGAATCTTGTGGCCCAGCCTGTATGAAGGGTTCCTTTCTCCTTGATGCCAACACTTCTACCCCTTGCTCTCCATCACCCCCCCTATCCTCACCCCACTCCTTTCATCCTCCTCCGGCACCAAAAGCCCCACCGGTCAGGATGGAGGACACTCTTTCCTCCCCTATCCCTGCTCCCTGGACAGGAAGCCCCATCCGGAGGCTGTTTCTTGTAGGAAAGGTCTCCCCCCCACCCCCCTCTGGTTCCCTTGCAACCTGTGCCCTGCCTGGAGGACCCCAGGCCCCTCCCTGGTCTGGCCTCCTCTCCTCTCCACTTGGCTACAGCTCTTGGGCTGCAAACCTGCAGGGACAGATGGTTGCAGGTTGGAGGGGCAGGCTGCACCCCAGGGAGGTCATTCTGGCGGAAGGCAGCCCTGGGCTTGTTCCTGGTATGTGCGTGTAGGGGGTGGGAGGTGGGGATAGGGGAGGGGGTCTCTCAGGTGGAGATTGACCCCAGGAGGAAGATGAGGTCTGGGAAGTTGGAACAGGTGTGGTCTTTTTCCCAGGTGCCCCTGCCTGCCTGTCCAGCTCACCAGGGCCCATTCATCCCTTAAGCAGGGCTCTGATTGACTGCGGAATTGGAATCAGAGCTGCAGGGCTGACAGGTGCCCTGCCTCCCTGGTCTTGCATGCCTCCAGTGACAGAGCGCTTACTCCCCTGTGCTGCGGGAAAGCTTCTCTAGGTTAAGTGGAGGGCTTTTTCCTTGGAGCTTTGTTCGCTTACCTTGTCGGTACCTTTGCTTTTGCCTCCCTGTCCAGTGAGAGGAAACTGCAGTGATTTAAACACGGCTCGCCTGTCACCGATGTATACTGGGCACCCTCTGTGTGTCAGGTGCCGCCACCTCAGCCACTGAGGGGACAATGGCATTCTTGATGAGAGCAGAGCTTGAGCCAAGGCCCATAGTTGGGATGACAGCCTGTGTTCGGAAAGACAGAGCAAAACCATACGGCTGGGATAGGACGGAGTGTCGTGGGTTCCCTCAACTCGGCAAACATTTTGGGAGGGAGGTGGGGGCAATTGCAACTACCCTCTGACACATCTGGCCTTAACCATGGAAACCAGCGATCACATCCTCAGGGAAGCACAAGATGGAGTTTACGCGTGGGCATATATTACAATCCGTAGGGACTTTTGGCTGGAAGGAGAATCTTGGGAATCTCAGATTTGGGGAACAAAAAGACCCCGACTCCCCCCTCCCCCCACCACACACACACAGTTTACAAGTAAGGGGGAGATGGAGTAGGAACTTGCCCAATCTTACCTTGCATTTGTGAAATTAGCGTCCGTCAAGAATAGCTCCTAGATCGCCGGATCTTTTTCTGACCTATAAACACTTTAGAGGCAGAATCAAGGATCGTCATAGCTAGTATCCCGAAGGTGAACGAACCGAGAGGACTCCTAGGGTTGGTGTGGTTCGATGGATGATGGTGCCCCCCGGCCCCCCCCCCCCCTTTTTTTTTGAGATGAGAAACACAGCAGGAAGAGTAGGGGAAAATGAATGCAGCTTTAGGTGAATCTCCACTCATTTCCCATGTAGACTTGTCCAGTTGGATATACAGGGCTGGGGCCAAAAAAGTTTTCTGCACCGGAGATGAGGATCTGGGAGTCGTTAGTCAGTGGTTAGTAACTAAACCCTGGCAGAGGATGAGATTTCCCTGGCAGAATATGAAAGTAGGAGAAGGGCCCTAGAACAAGGCCCTGGGGAACTAGACATTTAAGGAATGGGCAGTGACCGAGCAACCAAGGAGCAAGTGGAGAACTCGAATGCAGTGGGCATGAAAGCGTCGGGTACAGCCTCTATCTACCCTTTTGAGTCTTGCTCTTTGGCCAGTCTGGTCCATGGTCTTAATTTTTCATGCTGTTCCTTTGCTCAGCTTTCCCAATGTATCTATCCTACTCCTCTTGGTCCCCCAAGCACCAGCTCAGATATCCCTTCCCCTGGAGGCCTGTTCTCTCTCCTTCACCACCTTCTTCTGACTCAGAGACTCCCTTCTCTTTGCTGCCACAGCAGTTTGGATATGTCCATATCAGGACACTCATCACATTGTAGTTATGTATTTCCATGTCCATTTCTACAC